ACCTCAGGAACCAGGGGTTCCCATTTTTTTAGCATCCTGAGGTGGTATTAAAGATCCTTCCATTATCACCAGTAAAACTGATCTTCTCTCACCTCTGCAATCCCTGTCTTGAAGAATACCCCTCCGTCCCAACCTTCCCTAGCTGCCTGGATCCTCACCATCTTTCACCTTCGCAATTCTCCCCAGGCACTCTTTCTTCTGGGAACTCTCTCTCTTTTCACTGCCAGGCTCAGAGCCCCTCCTCAGATCTCCCCTTTCACAGCATCACCCATACTGCATTGTAACAATCTGCTTTCATTTCTAAGTCCCATCCTAGGCTGTGAATTCCTTCACTTACATCTTTAATTGTCCCTGTTCCTTCAGCACTTAGGACAGTGCCAAGCACCTAGTAGGTATTCAGGAAATTACAGTTGAACTAAGGCATGAGAAAGGGGTGCAAGAGATATCAAAACCAATTTCCTCTTCTTCCAAATAAGAAATCCAAGAATCACAACGTTTACCCAACCACCCGACATGACAAAGCTGGCATCAGCTGTCAGTCAGAAGCTAGGTTCCTCCCATGGATAGACTGAGTTCAATGGGCATAACCAGGAAATCCATGGTAGTGTATACTCAAGGGCATCTGTAGAGACTCATGGGAGTCATTTCCTTCCTTGACTGTCAGGGAAGCAGAAGCCAGTGCTGGAACAAGCAAAGGCCAGAGATTACCATGGCCTCTTGCAGGCTGATCCACTTCCCTCTCACTCTCTTACATAAAACTGTTGCTAAGAGTTACCCAAACTGCTAAGCCAAATAATATTCTGGCCGTGGTCATGTTATCAAACTGAAACCCAGTCTGCCTGGGGCCTGCCAAGTAACTTTCATGGCCAGTTTGCATTTAAAGGAGAGGAAAATGTAAATTTATCAGACTACTCAAGCAGTTCTATTTGGCAACTGGCGGAGAGGCTGGACGCAAAGGAGCAGGGTATTGCTTGTCGGCTGAAAGAATGAGGGAGTGCATGCCAGATGGGCTCCTAATACAATTGACGTTTCTAGTTTGTACTGAAAATGAATTTCCTCTACCCTCAGACCAGGGGCCTGAGAGCCAAATCTAGTATTCACCTCAGATCCCCTCTTGCTGCCTGTAAACACAGCAGAAACGAAGGGCCCAGAGCATCTTGAATCAAACAGCTTATATGGAGCAGAAATTCTTTGCTTTCCAAACAAGTTCCAGATCTTGGCAAGAAAGGACAGGGGCTCTTGTAG